ATGTGAAAATAGGCTTGCAGTCCCAACACATGAAATATAAAACTTCTATAGAATATATGTACATTTATGTGAAAATATAGATTTTCACAAATAATTATGATGAGACATATTACTTTGTAGTGGATATAATTTTACATATTTGAATAGTCTGGCAGTTATGAAATGTGCCTGTTAGATATTATTATGACCCATGGATGAGGATCATTAATAGTGAAATTTACATAATCATCCTTAAAGGATCAAAAATATGCCAGGAGCATATATAAGAAAATCTTTTAGTATATAAAATATTATGAAGATTAAAATAATTTCAGTATGTATGACCCTTTTTATAGTTTTGAATCAAAATATATGAAATTTCCTGAAGGATTTCACTTGCCAGAAACATACAATCCAAGTTCTTGAGAACAATATTTAATTAAGTTAAGTAAGTTGCCAGAAGCAATCAGGACGTATGTGGTATAACTGATTAAGTAAATATCGGTTGAAGAAATGATATAAAAATAATCTAATTTGCCCATGTATTTCTATGAAAAACTTTTTAAAATGGGTATGTTATAATTTTAGTTTGTATTGATGACATAAATATCATCAAAACTCCTGAAGAGCTCATAAAAGTTATATATTGTTTACAAGAAAGAATTTGAAATGAAAGATTTAGAAAGAACAAAGTTTTATCTCGGATTGCAAATTGAATGCATTAGAAATAAAGATTTTTGTGTATCAAATAATTGATATAAGAAAGATCTTAAAGTGTTTTTATATGGATAAATCACATCCATTATATACTTTGATAGTTGTGAGATTTGTAGAGGTAAATAAAGAATTTTTTAGATTTTGAGAATGTGATGAATAACTATTTAGTCCAGAAGTACCATATGTTAGTACAGTTGATGCATTTATATATCTTGCTAGTTACATATGACTTGATATATCATTTGTTGTTAACTTACTAGTAATATATAGTTCTTCACCAATACAAAGACACTAAAATAGAGGTTGTGAATTCCTTTTTGATCCACATGTTGGTAATTCCAGATAAAGTATTTCATAATATTCAAAAGATAGTAAAATATATATCTAGCAAATCTGTTCAAATAAAAATCTAACAGATTTGTTCACCAAGTCACTTCTTATTACAATATTCAAAAAGTTTATTCATGATATCGGATGTCACAGACTCAGGGATATCAATTGATGTTATCAAGAGGGGGAGTTAATACATGCTGTACTTTTTGTTCCTTGTCTATGGTTTTTTCCCACTGGGTTTTCCTAACAAAGTTTTTAATGAGGCAGCACCAAATAGTATATCAATGAATGTGTACTCTTTTTCTTCTACTAGGCTTTTGTCCCATAGGGTTTTTCTTAGTTGAAATTTTTTAATGAGGCACATATCTTATATAATGGATATCCAAAGGGGAGTGTTATGAATATTATAACATGTGGGATGTCCATCTCCTTTTCTTCCTCTTCCTCTTCCTCTCAACTTCATCATCAAACTCCCACTACTTCCACTAGGCATAATTTTCCATTGGGCATTAATCTTCCACTACTCCATTATCTTTCCATTATGCCTTTAATCTTGTAACTCCCCCTACTCATATTCATGTGGTTTATTGTCCACTATCTATCATTTAAGTACCAATGTAACTTATGTGTAAGACTATGCCTATAAATAAGGCATGCCATTGTATTATGAGGCAAGTGAAGCAAATGAAGGAATACAATATCATTTTCTTATTTTCTTGTTTACTTCTCTTCTCCAATCTAGTTTCATTGTTAGTTAATTTCATAACAAAGTAGATTTTTGTAGAAAAATTACTTTTTATCTTAATACTTAAATTTAGGAGAAGATATGTAACTAAATTAAATAAATATAAAATATTTACCAATCTTCTATAATATATCTAAATCAACACATATTTAATTATAAAATATACACTTATCAATTTTTATCTTTATTATCCCAAAGATATTAATTTTCTTATTTTTCTTCAATACCCATCCTTATCTATTTCCCTTTTTTTTTCCTTTTATTGTTTGAGGTGACATGAAGCTCTCACTATGAAAGAAGGCTCAATCTTTTATAGTAACTTTTACTTTTATGTGATTAAAATAATAATTAAGAAATATCACTTAATAAATTGATTAGTTTTCAGTATTTGTTTATTAAATTAATTTAAGTGATTTTGTATACATAAAGTTTTCAATATTTTTATTTAAAAACTATTTCATAAATTTATGAAGCTATTAAACTTTTTTTTTCAATAATACTCTTGATTTAAATATTGCTGAATAATTAGCATAAATATAGAAATTAATAAGTATATATTTTATGATTAATATGTGTGGATATGGATACATTAAAAAAACTCATAAATATTTAATATTATTTAATTTATTTATATATTTTCTTCTAAATTTAAGTATCAAGATAAAAAGTCATTTTTCCGCATAAATCTACTTATATTTAAACTATCTAGAAGAAAAAGTAGAATAAAAGAAGAATGAAGTAGTAGAAGATATGAAGGGACGGGATATCAATTATAATAATTCCTCCAAAATTCAAAAGTCATGGACACGGGACAGAAGATGAAGAAATGGGATACTTAGCTGTAATTTTTGCCAAAAATAAAGGGAAAATTACACTCAGGTCCCACAGAGTACAATTAATATCAAAAAGGTCCCACGAAATCGCGAAATGATTCTGAAGTCCCCAGGGACCTGTGTGTAATTAATTCTAATTGCGAAATTACCTACTTACCCCTGTTAATTTTATTGCAACAATTCGTTTACAATCTCAACAGTGGCTGTTAACAACCCGAGAAGATGTGATTGACAACCTCGGCAGTGCTCATGACAACTCACTTTGTAGAATGCCAGGGCGTTGTTGAGGTTGTTAACCACCTCTTCTCGAGTTGTTAACAGCCACTGTTGATGTTGTAAATAGGTTCTAATTTTATTTACAATCTCAACAGTGCTGTTAACAACCCGAGAAGACGTGATTGACAACCTCGGTAGTGCTCATGACAACTCACTCTGTGGAATACCAGGGGCGTTGTTGAGGTTGTTAACCATCTCTTCTCGAGTTGTTAACAGCCACTGTTGAGGTTGTAAATAGGTTCAAATTAACAGGGATAACTACGTAATTTCACAATTAGAATTAATTACACACAGGTCCTTGGGGACTTCAGAATCATTTCGCGATTTCGAGGGACCTTTTTGATATTAATTGTGTTCTGTGGGACCTGAGTGTAATTTTTCCAAAATAAAAATGCAAAGAGTTTGAACTCGTTGGCATTTTCCACCTTTTATTTTAAAAGACAGATAGTCAGAGTGAAAGCTCATCATGGGATGAACAAGTTTAAAAAAAATGCAGCATATGAGTAAATAGTTCACAAAATATAGCATTTGATTAATTATTTTTACTGTTTACAGCATTTAGCAGCATCGAAGACGGCGACGAGGTAATGCTTTGCGAATACTGCTGATGAACGGCTACGAGACTGCAAAACGAAGGCCATCAAACTTGCTGCTTCAGTCCCTTTCGGCAAATTACTTCAAAATTTTCACCCACTTCAGTTCGTCCAAAGTTACACTACCTGGCCTTTCCCCCCCCGTACGCAACCCAAATTTAGATGAGGGTAAGGGTATTTTTTTTGGTCAATTTCACACTTCATGACAAACTGAAAAATAAATTTAACAAAATCATTCCCTCCAAATATGACTTCATACCAAATATAATTTTAAAGTCTCAATCCCAGTTTCAATCTTCCGTCCCAATCCATCAGAATTCAGGCTTAGGTACCCACCATGTTATATGCAATAAGCATGCATAATATTTAACAAGGTTCTGAAAATTGGGATGGTTCAAGACTTAATTAACCGGTTTGATCGATGGTTTGATGGATTGTGATTAAAATAATATAATTCAATTAAAAATATCCAAAACTATCCCAAAAACAAATTAATTTAATATATTACATAGCAGCTAATGTAAAATACACAACAAACCAGAGTTGATCATTATTTTTACCCCACCTACGCACGACCGGTTCTTTTTACTTTTGGCTATCAGTGAATGCAGTTGAAGAATACTCTATCACAGAGCAGAGGTTCACTCCGATCTTATATTTAAAGTTCATATATCGAAATTATTAAGAAGGGAGAGCCTACCTGGGAGAAGCCACACAAAGAGGGAAATTGAAGATTGAACTCTGAAGTCTCTGATTCTCTGCAAATTGACAGAGTTAATTACCCGAGCTACACGATAGGCAGCAGACTGCGAAGCACGAGGATCAAAAAACGGATAAGGAGCACGAGGATCACGATAGTGACAGGGTGGGTTTGGGGGTTCAGGGAGACGCAAATGGGGGGAGGGTGAGGACAGAAGTAAAGCAGTCAGTGAAGGAATTGCGAATCAGAGGATACAAGGTAGGACGTATGAGAAGAGTAAGAATGTCATTTAAATTTGTTAATATGATATTTTAAAAAAAAAATCTAATTATCTTTTTTAGTTTCTTCCTTCGCTCTATTGTTATTGAGAGAATATTAATAGAATTAATGTGAAAAAAATTCATAAGCATGTAAAATAAATGTTATACTTCTCCGGTTCTAAATATAAGACCCTTATACACGTGTCTTATATTGAGGACCGGAAGAGTATATAATACCAATACCAACTTTCAAATTAAGTCTTACATTAAAAACAAAACAAGTAATAAGAGGCAAACCCATGTTGTTTCCTCGTTTGCCAGACTGAAAAATATAATTGGAGTCAAAGTAATGTCAAGTTTAAGACTTATTTATATTATTCCTCGTCAGATTATTATTTTGCTGCTAGATTTTATAGCCAGCGTGAGTGGTTGATGTACACTTGTTTAAGACTCGTAGGAGAAATATTTATTTAGTGCAAGGTTTTACAATTTCATGATTTGATATGTTTTGATAAATATATAACTTTTTCTTTAAATAATTGTTCATTAAGAACTAATCTGCTATGATACCAGAAATGTATCTAAGTAGCACTATATTATTCCCATACTAACCAAATACACTCGTACAGACTCTCATGACTGGAGCTTTATACATATTTGACCTCACAAATACACATCAAGTAAATAAGACAAGAAGAAACGAAGTCATGATATCTCTTTTGTTCTGGCAAAACCAACAGAAGAAAGTACAAAATTTTTTCCAAGAATGGACTATCCCAGATGCCAAGCAGTTTCACTTGTATCAAACTCCTCATTGGAGAAAACTTCAAGCAACATGCAAGTTTAGAGCAGCCAGCTAGATTTAGGACTTCCAACGAGTTCAGACAAAACATGGAATTAGGGATACTGACAAGATTGATGCAACCTTTCAAGTTCAAGAATCTGAGCTTTGGAAGTTGAGCAACAGATGGATCAAGTTGCAACAATCCAGTACATCCTTCGAGCTCTAGCTTCTCAAGATTTGGAACCCCACCAAAATCTGGCGTCTTTGTCAAAGCTTTGGAGCCACTTAGATTCAGTTTTCTCAAAGTAGGGAGCATCTGTGAATAGAGAATATATAGTACTTTTTGTATTAAAACAAGACACTTGGGGGATATTTAACAACAGGTAAAAGGTATCTATATTTGTTTAGGAGTTTGATTGAATAATTTCTAGTCATTTAAATATTTAAAAACTAAAAGAAGAACATGAACATACCATTCTGCCCTTCCACACTTCTGTCATGTTGCTTTCAGCCATAATCAGTTGAACAAGTGTGTCAGATTGAAAACCCGATGGCAAAGAAGTGAAAGGATATTGATGCCACGAAACATATCGCAACTTGCTTGAAAGATTACTAAGGGTTCCAGAAAATTCCACGTTACGGAATATCAGCAATCTAAGGTTGATCATATCTGATAAAGCATCAACCCTCAATGAGGCCATTTTTGGCTCTTCCAAATCCAAGGCTATAGCTTCAACTTTTTCCACCATCTGGGATTATAAATGCATTTATATATAGAGATGCTGAAATGTCAGATTATTACTGTAACTTCTCATTTTGTAATGGAGTGCTAAAAGGGTTATCAAAACCTACCCATGTGTATCTATATCTCTCAAAAACAGAGTTGACGTGAACTGGCAGAGCCTCAACTTTCATCACCTGGGAGTATAAATGCATTTGTACACAGAAATAATGAAATGTTAGATTATCATTTTAACTTTTCATATTGTCATGTGCTAAAAAAGGCTATCAAAACTTGCCCGTTCGTATCTCTCTCTCTTAATATCAGATTCGCTGTCATTTGACCAAGCTTCAACATTTTCCGTCACCTGGGAGTATAAACGCATTTGTACACAGAAATAATGAAACGTTAGATTATTATTTTAACTTTTCATATTGTCATGTGCTAAAAAGGGCTATCAAAACTTGCCACGGGTATCTCTCTCTCTCAATATCAGATTCGCTGTCATCTGGCTGAGCTTCAACTTTTTCCATCACCTGGGAGTATAAACGCATTTGTACACAAAAATAATGAATTGTTAGATTATTATTTTAACTTTTCATATTGTCATGTGCTAAGAAGGGCTATCAAAACTTGCCCATGCGTATCTCTCTCTCTCAATATCAGATTCGCTGTCATCTGGCTGAGCTTCAACATTTTCCATCCCCTGGTAGTATAAACGCATCTGTACACAGAAATGATGAAATGTTAGATTATTATTTTAACTTTTCATTTTGTCACGTGCTAAGAAGGGCTATCAAAACTTGCCCATGCGTGTCTCTCTCTCTCAATATCAGATTCCTTGTCATCTGGCTGAGCTTCAACATTTTCCATCCCCAGGGAGTATAAACGCATCTGTACACAGAAATAATGAAATGTTAGATTATTATTTTAACTTTTCATGTTGTCATGTGCTAAAAAGGGCTATCAAAACTTGCCCATGCGTGTCTCTCTCTCTCAATATCAGATTCGCTGTCATCTGGCTGAGCTTCAACATTTTCCATCCCCTGGGAGTATAAACGCATCTGTACACAGAAATAATGAAATGCTAGATTATTATTTTAACTTTTCATGTTGTCATGTGCTAAAAAGGGCTATCAAAACTTGCCCATGCGTGTCTCTCTCTCTCAATATCAGATTCGCTGTCATCTGGCTGAGCTTCAACATTTTCGATCACCTGGGAGTATAAACGCATCTGTACACAGAAATAATGAAATGTTAGATTATTTTTTTAACTTTTCATGTTGTCATGTGCTAAAAAGAGCTATCAAAACTTGCCCATGTGTATCTCTCTCTCTCAATATCAGATTCGCTGTCATCTGGCTGAGCTTCAACATTTTCCATCAGCTGGGAGTATAAACGCATTTGTGCACAGAAATAATGAAATGTTAGATTATTGTTTTAACTTTTCATGTTGTCATGTGCTAAAAAGAGCTATCAAAACTTGCCCATGTGTATCTCTCTCTCTCAATATCAGATTCGCTGTCATCTGGCTGAGCTTCATCATTTTCCATCACCTGGGAGTATAAACGCATTTGTGCACAGAAATAATGAAATGTTAGATTATTGTTTTAACCTTTCATGTTGTCATGTGCCAAAAAGGGCTATCAAAACTTGCCCATGTCTCTCTCTCTCTCCCCATATCAGATTCGCTATCATCTGGCTGAGCTTCAACATTTTCCATCACCTGGGAGTATAAACGCATTTGTACATAGAAATAATAAAATGTTAGATTATTATTTTAACTTTTCATAATGTAATGTGCTAAAAAGGGGTATCAAAACTTACCATGTTTCTTTTGTTCTCCATAACAGATTTAATGTCACTATAAAGGTATAATCGGCTTTGTTGATACGGATATTGCTGTCGAATAATATCTCGCCCCATTGCTTGCAGCATACTATGCATTTGTATCCTCTCATTTGCAATTGTGATGACCGACTTCTGAAAAAGAATTTCTACATCAACAGAGCAATCGATGCAATCATGTAAAATTTCCTTCACACAGTTAATGTCCTTCCCAACAAAGAAGCATGCTATGTCCAAAAACATTTCCTTACTCATGTCATCGAGTTCGTCAAAACTTTTTCTAAGCACCCTTGTGATCTCATAGGGAGGAATAATTTCTTCCCTATCCAGGAAACTTCTCCATTCTGCAACGCCTTTTCCAAAAAAGGATGAACCCAATATTTCAATTGCTAATGGAAGGCCATTAGCATATTCCAACACCCTATATATCATCCCTTCGAAATCATCAATCGGATATCCCCCTAGAAAAGCTTTAGAACAAAATAGTTTGAAACCTTCGTCCTTGGACAAGAGTTTAGGTCTATAAATGGTATTAACCTCATATTTTTGAAGGACTTGTTCATCTCTAGTTGTTATAATGATTCTACTCCCCCCGCCAAAACAATTGGATTTTTCAACTAAGTTCAACTCCTGTAGATGTTGTACAAGATCAACACCATCAAGAACTATAAGAAACTTGTGCTTTCTTAGCCTTTCCCCTAGTAAGAACTCTTTGTCTAGAAAATCCTTCATCTCTGAATTTTCTGTCCTCAAATGTCTATGCAGAAGTTCTTGTAGGGTTATGTCACCATGCTTTAAACGTCCACTCAGATTGGGAAGGAAACAAAAGGCATCAAAAAGGTGAAAGGTCTTAAGATATAGAACAGTAGCAATAGAAGATTTCCCCAATCCACTCATACCACAAATGCCAACAACTCGAACTTCATCATCTGCATTCAAATCCAAAAGCTTTTCTACTTCTTCCACTTGAGATTGCATCCCAACAAATCCGAAGAAGTCATAAAATAGTTTATCTATTTTAGACTTGACTTCTTTAACAGTTTTTGGAATAACCTGTAACCCTGAGCTGAAAAAGAGAAAGTGGAACGCCCAATCAATCAAATTTGTTTCCTCTTAAAGATCCTCTGCTATTATTGGTGTGTGGCTTTTATCAAGACAACTTAGAAGTGACATCTAAATTTTTTAAAGTAGATATATATACACAAATTATATAATATCCATATTGCATCTGGAGTTGAGGTCTGCTAGTAAAACAGTTTGTTGTTTCTGATATATGTGTGTGTATATATATATACTCTCCTCCTATCCTTAATATATGACCTAATTGTTAAGTTGATTTTAATCCTAAATATAAAACCTATTTCTCATATTTATCAATTTTTCCTAAATTATCCATATAAATACTCTCTCAACCATAATCAAATAGAAGAGAGAGGGAGGATATTATGGTATTTTAGAAAAAATGTCATATTTTTTTTTATAATTAACTAACTTACCTAAATTTTTTAATCTAATTAAATTGGTTAAATAGGTCTTATATTAAGGATCAGAGGAGTATATAAGAGTGTGTGTAGATATATATATATAGAGAGAGAGAGAGAGTAAAATTACGTACTCATTCCGCACTTGCCAGCCAGGGGAACTGGCCACTTGTTCGATATCTTCCCATTGGGTTATCTCAAATGAATCTTGTGTGCATGCTTGTTGAATATGTTGAGGAAAGGATTTTGGATCCACATCGTAAAAAACTGCTATAACCCTATCTGATGCACTCCAGCGCCCAGAGACACGGAACCCTCGTTTCAGAGCTTGCCTCCATCTGTTCACCTTGTCTATGTCTGCTTCGCACATTTCTTGTCGTTCAGCATCGACAGCGTACAATGGATGCGCAAAAACTGATGATGATGAGTCCGCACAAGACAATTGAGATTCATCCTGAGAAAGAATGATGCGCAAAACCTGTGACAGTTCCTTTAAACACCAACATGAAGAAGCATAGTTCTTGGAGAAGACAACAATCCAAATCCACGACTCACGAATTGCTTGAAGAAGGTGAGGTGGAAGATTGGAGCCCGGCGTTTCAAGCTTCTTATCATCTCCAAAGATTCTGAAGCCTTCTGCTTTCAGAGCAGCCAAAAGGCTATGCATGAATTTACGAGTCTCTTCATCACCTCTAAAGCTGATATATACATGACTCGGTTTCAACGATGAGGAGCTGCTCTCCAAATACTCCATGGAATAGAAATCGTTATCATCACCCTGTAAGTAGTCAACAATAGAAGCAACAAGCAAGTCATAACCGACATGAAAGCTCCATGCAAATAGGAGGTAGCGACTGGACCCTGCTTGTGACATCAGGTAAACTCATTACATTCCACACTTAGCTATAAACCCTTCGATATATATTTATAATCATTAGTTACCATAGGTTACAGTCTAAAGCTTTATGCCTAATCAATGGTGCATGTCTGGGAGAACTTTGAAAACGAAAGTTAGGATTTTCCCCAAATCATAATTTCAAAAGCAGAGGACGACTGGGGATGAATTCTTAAAGTACAGTAATAGCTTCCCAAATCAACATTGAAAAAAAAGGGGTTAAATAGCTATGTTTTGAGGGCCTATTCCCCCCACTCAAATTATCTACACAAGATTCAATTAGGTCCTATTTTGCGAGTCAAAATCAACATTTTAATGCCGTCTATAACACCTTAGCAAATTTAACACCGTTATACCTCTAAATTCTAAAACATTAAATTTTAGAGACCAAAATCACCGATTTGCAATTTGATGAACCCAAACTGAAATAGGAACAAATTTTAGTAACCAAAAATTATATTACCCTGATTTTTAGTTCTCATATTGTCATTTGTCCCGGAATATTATATTGTTACTAATCATAGTCGGCTTTGTTGGTATTTTTTTATTTAGAAATTCCAACTTATACAAAATGCACTAAGATTAGATTACTCGAAGCACGCTATGTCATGCCATAGGCATGCCTAATATATAGCAAGGTTCTCAATGGGGAATGTTCGAGAGTCTCCGGTAAGATCGGCAAAGATTAAAATAATATAATATAATTAAAAATATTATTTATCTGCTAATGTATACCGGTACTGAATATAAATATAAGTCCCATTTTGTGTGGGGTAATACATAACAGACCAGAGTTAATCATTATTTTCACCTCTGGTAATGAGTGAATGCAGCTGAAGAATACTCCATCACAGATCAGAGGTTCAGTCACATCTTACGTTTACAGTTTAAAAATCGAAATTATTAAGAAGGGAGAGCTTACCTGGAAGAGGGAGCTCTCTGCAAATTGGTGGAGTTCGCCGAGCTGCGCGACAGACGGCGGACTGAGGATCACAAAGCAGCGATGAACGACGGCGACGGGTTGAGGAGCACGAGGACCAAGATGGCGACAGGCCAAGGACAACGTCAACCAGTCAAGGAAAAAGGTGGTGAGGGGATCCATCTGACATTTGCCTGGCCCGTTTCCGCGTTTGCCAGATTAATTAATGGTGTTTGGATAAATCCAAAATTATTTTTTAAAAACTTTTTTGTATATTTATTTTAAATATATCATAAAAATATTTTTAAGACTATAATTTTATTTTTATTCAGACACCATCTAAAAGGTATAATTCGAATCCATGTTGTGACAAAAAAAGAAATTGTTTGGAGGTTAAAATGCATCACCAACGCAGACTATTTTCTTAAATATATCTAACATCTTGAAAATATTTTGTAATATATTTGGTATCTTAAAATATTTTTTAGGTATGTCTGACATTTTAAAACATTTTTTATTTGATATTAGATGTACCAAAAAATATTTTGGGACATTAAATACATAAAATATTTTAAAATACTAGATACATAAAAAAACTTCAAAATATTGTATATACTTAAAAAGTATTTTAAAATATTAAATACATAATAAAATATTTTAAGATACAGAATATAATATGCCCCGGACGCAAACGCACTTTAACTCTTGTTTCACCCACGCCTCGTAAGATTTTCAACTTGCCTTCGCTTTACTAGATTATACACACACATACGCGCGCGTATACAAACACTCTTCTAATTTTTAATATAAAATCTAATTGTTAAATTAATTTTTATCTTAAATATAAGATTTATTTATCATACTTATCAAATTATTTCTAAGTTACCCCTATAGATTTCCCCTAACCATAATCAAGTAGAAATAGAGAGAGAAGATATTAAGGAAAATGATTATGGTGTTTTAGAAAAAAACATATTATATTTATTATAATTAATTAATTTATTTAATTTGTTTAATCTAATCAAATTAGTTAAATATGTCTTATATTAAGATTTTTTTTTTATATTCCAGGTTAAGCGTGAATTAGGTTGGGTATATTAATATACTCCCCTCAATTCTCTTGGAAGTATGTGGTTTGGAATGGCTACGCATTATCAAAACATTTAATTATTATTCATATGGTACATGAATAACAAAGAACGATTGAAATTTTCGTAAGATGATACTTAAAATTTTTGTTAGGAACAAAGTTTATGACGCAATATGATATTTTTTGACCAGAACACAGTATGATATTAACCAGATTAATTTTTTAAAAAGATTTCATTTCAATTGAAGTAATTAAAAAATATTTATTTAATTTCAAATGCATGAATATTACTTTTTATAATTAAAAGCTTTTATTCGTTCGACAATAAAATTCAAAATTATCAATAATTAAATTATTCTAATTTATTTATTTCCAGTATTAAAAATCATTATTATACTATTTTCCCTGTGTACGAATGATTATATGGGAACCATTTTTTCACGAAAAAACTGAAGCATTTTTTGTTAAAGTGTGTGTGTGTTTTTTTTTTAAAAGAAAAACACCTTGCATGCATAAGAATATGTGAACAAATTTCCTTTAAAAAAGTGTGACCCAAAGGCTGTCTCAAAAGCTCATAAAAATTTAAGGGTTGATACAATTTTTGTTCACTTTAGACCTGCCTTTATTTTAATTTGCACCTCCCAAAATTTAAATCATATGTTTTTTTGGGTTTTTTAAGTTTCTTCTTGTTTAAAATATTGGTCATTATAATTCAATAATAATCTGGAATATTTTACCCCTTTAAAGGATAAAAAGTTATGGTTTGAAATCTAAGAGACCAAAATCAAAATAAGAGCAAATTTGAAGGATAAAAAATTATATTAACCCAAAATTCAATAACTATTATTGAAGGCACATTGCAAAATTCTGAGATCATCTAAAGAATCTTAAAGCCTGATTGCAGACATATTATACAAAAGTGTCAAGTCTGACTATTATCATACGACACGCAAACGCGCTTGAAGAAATTATAAAAGTACTATAGAAATCCCTCTTGAGATCTTTTCAGGGCAAGCTCAAAGATATTTCCTCCTTGATGACCCTCTTATTCAAAATCTTGCCCCATCGCATGAATCGGTGAAAAAGGCTTTAGATGGTGATTAGTTTTGCAAATTTTGTGTGTGTTAACTTACAGTCCTCAATGCACGTTTTGCTCGGTTACGGATTGAGGAGTTTTGTTAAAAAGAAAAAAGAAAAGGCCTTAATATAAGATCTAATCATCGAGTTGATCTTGATCTTACATATAAGACTTATTTCTTATATCAAACAATTTTTCTTAAGTTATCCATGTTGATGCTCCTTCAACCATAATCAAATAGAAAAGGAAAGAAATATATTAATAAAGATAATTATAGTACTTTAGGGAAAAAAACATGTGATTTCTTATAATTAACTGAATTACCTAACTTACTTAATATAATCAAATTAGTTAAATCGATCTTATATTAAGAGATATGGCTTCTCTTGCTTTAGGCATAGCAGGACCCCAGCGGGAGGCTCACATGACGGGTTATTAGCTTAGTGGTAGGGCATGCCTCTGATAATCACGTCATTGCACCTAGACTATGAGGCCTCTCACTCCATAGACAGTTTAATGTGCTTATGATCCTGAGATGTGGATCATTCAAGGCACATTGGCATGAGTATTGTTTAACCCCTTATTTTTACAAATGATCCTAGTCCAAATCGTTTCTTCGTTTCTTCTTGTTTTTTTCTTCACCTCCTTCTGTAATATTAAAAACTAAAAAGCTAGTTCTATAATCCAAAGAATATGTTTTGCGGATAGTTCTCTGATAGATGCAGGCAAGCCTGATTTATTCTGTGAATTAATTCAAGCCACTTTGGTTAACGTCATTGGAATAAAAACGTTAACTTAGCCTGAATGACCTTTCAAGCTTAACTAGGGGGAAAAAAATGTTCAGCTTACTTATTTCCACTCCCTTCATCTCTTATTATAAGATCCTTTTAATTAAATTGTGCAGTTTAAGAAAACAGTTAAAAGCAATTGATATGTAGCAAATGCAATTTTTTTTGGAATATACCTTATATATAAACGGGTAAAATAGTAGGATAAATAAAGAAAGAGAATGTATCAAATGTATTAACCCAACTAGATGGATAGCACAGCTAGATGGAGTACTTTTGAAGTTCGAATGCCTTCATTCTTTTAACTACTTTCAAATAATTCATTAACATTTAACTAGAAGAACAAGCAGCTTTATCCCATTAGGTCAACTGGATGGATACCACAACGCTAATAAACTTTAATATCTCATTCATCATAACATCTCATTCTATAATTTCTTTAAGTGCTCTTCTTAGTTTCCTTTTACGTCCTTTCACAGAGTTAAAAGACCATCAACTCAACTCTTCTCCACCCGCACTTCAAGTGCCCTTCTTTGCACGCGAACAAAGTGAGCAAGCTAGTCTTTCCTGAACAATGATCATACAAAGTTTCAGGTGTAAGACCTCTTGAAAGTTTTTACAGGCCCCCGCCACTAGCCTGCCCACATTATTCAATATTGATTCAGTATTGAACCAGAGTCACATCAGACACACTTCAAATCAATCTTTTGCAGATATAAATTGACTTCAAACTTCAACGCAAGGCATTATACTAATGAAATAAAAGAGGGAAATTAGAAATGCAAAGCCAGAGTTTTTTTTAATTCAAAAAACTTACATTATACAGCCTCTGAAAGATGATCATGGCAAAAACAGGACGGTTTCGGGGTACATCACTCAGGTTTGTCAATGCTGCTTGATCTGAAGCATCCAACGAGGATTCAGGGTCACCTGCACTGTGAACTTGACCTTGATTTCCTTGTAGCAATTAGGAGATAGATTACAACAGATAATGGTCATTGAAAGGTGAGAAGGGACCAATGCATATTAACTTCAAAAGGAATTATAAGTCGTTCTCTGTTGGGACTGAAGAGCCATTACGTGTTAACTACTGGTATGTTGGCCAAAAAAAAGAAAAAAGAAAAAAGAAAAGAAAACTGGTATATAAACATTTCAACCCTCATACGGAAACAAAGGAAGAAAGCTTCTTTGCATTTGACTTCTCTTAGAAGGTTATAATGATGAATATTAGTGTTAGACCTAAACTGACTTCAACGCATCAATCAATTTAAACATGTACACTAAGAAACGCAAGACCCTTGATTTGAACCTTTTTAGTCGCCTTGGGTTAAATCAAAAATAAAACCAAATTATGCAGTAAAGCACAACTCGGGTCGTGTCTCTTGAGGAGCCTTTTATTAATTCCTAAGTTAACTAAGTGACAAAGAATAAAAAGGGGGGTTGAAAAAGGATTTTTCAATTAATAAAACTAATTATGAAAATAAGAAATAAATCTAAACTATTTTTTTTGGGTATTTTTAATAAAGAAAGAATGAAAAATGCAAATTTGAATTTTAGAAAATCAGTAATGAGAATGCTTCTTGAAAACAGAATGTAGCTATCCTTGCTTAATAAAAGATATAGGAGTAAAATAATTCACCAAGTTAAGAGAAACAACCCCAAACACGGTTTGGGTCAAGTAAACTCAACACTTAACTACCCTAAACGCTAGATAGTAATCAAGTTATTAAGTTACTTTTAAAAACCACTTAACGTGCAATTTAAATTGAGTTAATAAAACTTGTTTCCCTCTCAAAGAATGCTCACGGAGACACTCAATTGCAATACATCTCAATCATAAAATCTAACAACGCGCCAGATAAGATAATTTTAATGAATGCAAAGGAAATATATATGAACTCAAATCCCAAGTAATACAACTCAAATTAAATTGCAAAAATCCAATTAACAGAAATTATAACGCATAATCTCAGTCTCCAAATCAAATGAAAACATTCCTAACACAGGAAAAATCTAATGAAGTCCAAGAGAAAATTAATTGGAAAACTAAATACTCCCCTAGTTGAAGCTCCAAGCTCAAGCTACTCCTCTATCTTCAAGAAGCACAAGGAAATTAGCCTCTCATGACTCTAGCAGAATCCACAATATTTTTGAAGCAATGAGAATTCATGGAGGCTTTGGTGAGAAAGTGGGTGTGAAGATTATTTGTAGAAGAATACAAATAATGGGGGCCGACGGTGATGACGATAGTTATGGAAGAGATGGATGATGATAATGAAGCCTGTGGAATAGGTGGACAACGCGCCACTATGGGTGAAGTGCGTCTTTGGCCGAAGGGGGAATATGAGAATTGAATGGGTGCGCCGCTTGTGATTGCGTGAGAACTGGTGTATATCTGTGGAGCGGGGACGAGGCGTGTGAATATGAGTGTGTGTACGGTGGTATATATAGGAATGGAATGGGGGCGGCGGCTGTGATATCTGCGTGAAGGAGGAGATATAATATATATCCAAATCAAATCTCAAAGATAGGCATGTGGATAATTTCTGTGTCCTCTTTTTGAATCCATAAAAATATAGATAATATCATATCTGATGCCATCCAAGCTGTGTCTCCAATTTCCTTCTTTTTGCATTTTTTTATTTCCTTCCTTTCAGCTTTCTATGATCTTTATTTCCTTATTTTTAAGGCCTGCAAAAGATAAAATGAGATGCTATCATAAAATCCAGAATCAATTATTTAAAAAGAGATAAAAATATGATAAGATCTTCTATTAAATCTCTAATTTCATGCAATTAATATTTGATTCAAAATATCTACAATCAATGCAATTTATCCCACTTTAATTGATAAATATTTCTAAAAAGATATCAAACAATATATTAAAATCAGCATTTATCAACTTCCCCACACTTGAACTTTTGCACTCCTGAGCAAAATGATCAATCACATGAAAAATCAAGACTAACACCAAGAGCAATTAAAGAGTTATACAAATTCATGAAAAGAATATAATAATCCAATAAATGATATCTAACAAACTAGCAAAATTCATAGTTAAAACCAATGCAAAGGATTAGTCAAGTATGTAATCAACCTTGAAAGTGAATAAATGAGAGAAAGCTCTAAAGATAATAGTGTTTCACTCATGTCACCTCATTGGGGTAATTTTCACTCAGATCTACTTAATTCATACTCTATCATAGGCTTGTAACAACTCTATTGTCTCAATTACTACCACAATTATACAATAAATCATGAGGACTTTAAAGGGTTGTAATGATGGAATTAGGCCACATAAAATGACAAGAACTATGCATGCACATATGAATGATAAGCATCTTAAATACCACTAGATATTCCATAAAATCATGTTTCACAGAGCTACTTTTGCTACTTCACAGAATCCAAAGGAATGCCTTATTTCCCATACTCCTTTTTTTTTTCTTTTTACTTTTCTGTTCTTTTTCTATTTTTTTTTGTTTTTTTTTCATATTCAACTTTTTTTTTTCACTCCTCTCTTTTTTTTTCTTTTTTTTTCCTTTTTTTTTTTTTGAAATTGGCATTCAAACACATTATGAAAGATAGTAGCAACATTCTATGATATGACAAGTCATGAGTATGTTAAGATGCTTTGAGAATGCAATTGAGATGTACATGCATTGTCGCTTGTCGAAAACGAGAATAAAAAGAAAGTGAAGGCTCAAAAGGTATGCAATGGATAAAAATGATAGAGGTTTGTGTTTGGGATAATAGGGTTATAAATATGAATGCCTCAATCACTTTTATCATATAATCACAATGTAATTAGACTAAGAGTTGAAACAAGTTCTGCAGAATGAAAAATTAAGTTGATAATCACACACAAAGAAAGGAAATTAGGCCCAAAAATCTTCCAACAAGGTTTATTCTCTCATGTTCACTTACATTGGCTAATTAGACACTAAACTAATCACAAAGCATTAATCAAACTACTTCAAATTATTAGCTGTAGGAGTATCATAAATCAAAGCATTATATTCAATCATGAACAAGCATAACTCAAAATTAAACTAGTGAAAGTCTCTCTGTTTTTTTTTTTTCAAAACAGAGTAGCAATAGTCAAAGTACGGGGCATAGTGAGCAACAGAATCACCAATACTAATGGTAGAATTAGTAGGGCTCAATCAATCAAAGAATTTCAATGTGAAATAGAAAGGCTACAAATGTAGAAAATGGAGGTCCTCCCCCACACTTAGTCAATACATTGTCCTCAATGTATTTCAAAACACACTATCCTTACCAGACTCCCATATAAAGACTAAGTGTTGAGTGGGTAAAGTAGAGAGCTTGGAGCATTTATTAACTAACAAGAAGGGAAAAGAAAAAAAAAAAAACTAATCCTAACTACTACTACTGGAATGGCCCTCCCCCCACACTTATCTCAAACATTCATGTTCAAAACATTTCACAGGTAGACATATGCATGATATGAGAGATAGAGAGAGGAAAGGGACAACCTGGCCTCATGGAGGTTTTGTACTATCGTGGTAGAGCTTGAGAAGGTGTCCATTGACTTTGAATTCTGATCCACTAGCCTCATCAAGTAGCTCTACCGTCCCGAAGTCATGCACTTTGGTGACTTTGTATGGCCCATCCCAACGGGTTTTAAACTTTCCTGGTTTGAGTGCAAATCGGGCCTTGAAAAGTAGTACTTGGTCACCAACTTGAAAGTGCTTTCGCAGTATCTTTTGGTCATGAATCTGCTTGGTTTTCTCTTTATATATGAGGGAACTCTCATAAGCGTCCAACCGCATCTCTTCTAGTTCCTGTAACTGCAACTTCCTTTCCAGACCAGATTCCTCTAGGTCCATATTGCACATCTTCACTGCCCAGTAGGTCTTATGCTCCAGTTCAACCGGAATATGACATGCTTTCCCATAAACAAGCCGGTATGGGGACATTCATATCGGTGTTTTGAAGGCAGTTCTATATGCCCAGAGTGCTTCGTCCAACCTCAAGCTCCAATCCTTTCTCGAAGGCTTCACTATCTTTTCTAAGATCTGCTTGATTTCTCTGTTAGAAACTTCTGCTTGCCCATTTGTCTGTGGATGATAAGCAGTGGATGTTTTGTGGGTAACCCCAAACTTTGCAAGCAAACCATTGATAATCCGGTTGCAAAAATGGGTACCTCTGTCACTTATTATAGCCCTTGGTACCCCAAATCTACAAAAGATAGACTTAAGAAACTTGGAGACCGTTTGGCCGTCATCTTTCCTAGTAGGGATGGCTTCTACCCACCTAGATAAGTAATCTACTGCTAACAATATGTAATTAAAACCTGCAGACGGTGGAAAGGGACCCATAAAATCAATTCCCCAAACATCAAATACCTCACAGAATAACATATGGTGCTGCGGCATTTCATGCCTTTTACCTAGCCCCCCAAACCTCTGGCATTTATCACATGCCTTACAATACAAGTAAGCATCCTTAAACAAAGTTGGCCAGTAAAATCCAGCATCTAATACTTTCCTAGAGGTCTTTTTAGCGCTAAAGTGTCCCCCACAACTCAATGAATGGCAGCAGAAAGGATGGATTGGAATTCTATCTCTGGTACACATTTTCTAATGATCTGGTCATTGCAAATTCTCCACAGGTGTGGTTCATCCCATACATAGTACTGGGCTTCTCTCTTGAGCTTCTTCACCTGAAATGGAGACAAATAATCAGGAATCAATCCTAATACCAAATAATTAACCAAGTCAGCAAACCAGGGTTCTTTCAAACCCACAGCACATAGAGCAACATCAGGAAAATCATCACAAACTAAATTAGAATCATCTACTCCCCTTGTATCACTAGGAAGTCGACTGAGATGATCTGCAACATGATTCTCTGCTCCGGCTCGATCCTTGATCTCAATATTGAATTCTTGCATAAGTAGAGCCCAACGGAGCAGTCGAGGCTTAGACTGTGGCTTTTTAAACAAATACCGAACAGCTGCATGATCTGTGAACACTACAACCTTAGAGTTGATCAAATATGGCCTAAATTTATCCAAAGCAAACACAATGGCAAACAACTCTTTCTCAGTGGTTGTATAATTACACTGAGCAGCATCCAAAGTTTTTGATGCATAAGCAATGACCTTAGAGACCTTACCATCTCTTTGGCCAAGCATTGCTCCAACAGCACCATTAGAAGCATCACAAGACAGTTCAAAGGCAAGTTCCCAGTTAGGGGCAGTCAGAATAGGAGGGGTAATCAGTCTATGTCTCAGTTCATCAAATGCATGCTTACAGTTATCATCAAAAACAAAGTCAACATCTTTTTGAAGAAGCTTTGACAAAGGCAGAGATATTTTGCTAAAATCTTTTATGAATCTGCGGTAAAAACCAACATGCCCCAGAAAGGATCTTAAGTCCTTAAGTGAAGAAGGGTAGGGCAAGGAAGAAATAACCTCAACTTTTGCCTTGTCAACCTGAATACCATTTTAGAAATCACATGTCCTAGCACGATGCCTTGAGTTACCATGAAATGACATTTCTCATAGTTCAAAACGAGCTTCTTCTCAATACATCGAGCTAGGATTTGATCAAGACTAGATAAGCAAGCATCAAATGACTCACCATAAACTGTAAAATCATCCATGAAAACATCCATGCAATGCTCAAGAAAATCATAAAATATAGACATCATGCAGCGTTGAAAAGTACCAGGAGCATTACAAAGACCAAAAGGCATCCTCCTATAAGCAAAAGTACCAAACGGGCAGGTGAAAGTGGTCTTCTCTTGATCCTCAGGAGCTATAGGGATTTGAAAGTATCCAGAGAACCCATCTAAGAAGCAGTAATGACTCTTTCCCGCTAATCTCTCTAACATCTGATCAATAAAAGGCAATGGGAAATGGTCCTTCCTAGTGGCTTCATTAAGCCTCCTATAATCAATGCATACCCGCCACGAATTTGAACCCTAGTGGGGATTAACTCATCATTGTCATTTTTAACTACAGTCAACCCACTCTTCTTAGGTACTACCTGAACCGGACTAACCCACTCACTATCAGAAATAGGATATATGATCCCTGCACTCAAAAGTTTGGTGACTTCTTTTCTCACAACATCTAGGATCAATGGGTTAAGACGCCTCTGGGGCTGTCTAACAGGTTTGGAGTCCTCAGTAAGTAGTATCCTATGGGTACAAACAGTTGGACTGATCCCAGGAATATCAGCTAATGTCCACCCAATCGCCTCTCTGTTTTTCCTAAGCACACAAAGCAACTTAGCCTCTTCATCAGCGGATAAAGCATTTGAAATAATCACAGGCAAGTGTTCATCATGCTCAAGAAATGCATATTTAAGATTAGAAGGTAGAGACTTCAGTTCAAGGGTCGGGGGTTGAACAATAGAAGGGATTAACTTAGGGAGTTTAAGAGAACAAAGAGAACTCCCTTTTGTAGCCTCAACTAGGTAGCTCAGATTCAGCTCCCTTGAATCTACCTTTTGCTCATTGGCCTTCCCAAGTGTTGAGTCAACTTCAGGTTGACCTATAGCACCAACAAACTTGGGTTTTCATCCTTCACACCTGCATCACAACTAGAAACAAGATCTTGCAAGTATTTCAAAGTATGAGGAGAAATAATAGAGTGATTAGAAAGTGCAAGTGAAGTGTTCTCATAATGCCCTTTATCCTTAGGTAAAGATTGCCTTGGTTGCTGATCAAAGACATGAGTAGGGGAACTAGATGGAATTGGCCTCTCTGTTGAGCCAACATTATCACTTTCAGCTACAATCTCAGATTCCATAAAAGTATCTGCACATTCAAGAAGCAAATCCTTTCCCAAACTAAGGTCACTTGCAAAAGCAGAGTCAGTATCACAGAGAGAAAAGGTATAAACCTGTGAAGTGGAGAGGGTACTGCTAATCTCAAAATCAGAATATATCATGTCGCTATCACAAGTATCAGAAAGAGAGTATATAGAAGGAAGAGAGGAAAAATACTCATCATAAGCAGACATGGCATCATCAAGCTCAGAAGAATCATGTTCAACAGGCATAGGCAAGTAGTTATCATCATGCAAATTCAATTCAAAATCATCCCTTGCCTCTTCAATGGCTAAATCAATAGCATTAACACCTAACAAAGAGTAATCATCATATGGGTGTTTCATGGCTTCATACATGTTAAAGCATATCTTATGATTCCCAACCTCCATGGTTATGGCACCTTCTTTCATATCGATAATGGTATTTGCTGTTCTAAGGAAGGGCCTACCTAGGATGAGAGTGGACTCACTAGCTAACTCATTAGACACATCTAGGACATAAAAATCAGCTGGGAAAACAAGGTCTTTCACTTTAACCAATATGTCCTCTAAGATACCATCAGGGTGCCTAATGGACCTATCAGCTAACTGTAACACAACACTGGTGGGTTTGACTGCTTTGATTCCTAGGGCGATGTAAACAGATTTAGGCATTACATTAATTGCGGCCCCTAAATCTAGCAGTGCAGCGGCTATGTTCACTGGTCCAATGGTACAGGGAATGGTATAGGCACCTGGATCTTGGCACTTTATGGGAAGTTGAGGCTTAAAGATAGCTGACACATTAGAGCTCAGTTGAACTCTTTCATTAGGCCTAAACTTTCTCTTGTGAGTGCACAAATCCTTTAGAAACTTACAATATGCAGGCATGCTTTTAATCATGTTCAGAAAAGGCATATTTACTTCTAGCTTACTAAAGAATTCAATCATTTCCTTTTGGGTTTGATCATCATGCAGTTTCTTACCTCTAAAGTAAGCATTAGGAAAGGGAATGTCAGAAATCTTTACCTCTTTACCTTTTGGCGTTAAGGCCCTTGCATAGTTGATTCGCTTTTCTCATGTGTGGTTGGAGCTTTTTCATTGATCTCTTCCAGAAGTGGTTGACTTGCCACTTGAGATCCTGGCCCATCAGTAGACCTTGCTCCATCTTGAGTAATTTCAGCATTTTGTCGATCAGTTCTTTCTTCTTGGTGCTTTCAGAGTGCTTCAGCTTCATAGGAGTTAACGGAGAGCTATCACATTCAATTTCCTCATCAACTTCTTCGTCATCCTCATTAGAGAATTTGACCACCCTCCCACTTCTCAGATTGATGGCATTAAGGGATTTGGGATTGATCACAGTATTTGAGGGTAGTCCACCCCCATTCTTGGCTTGCAAATCGCTCACAGTATTGGAAACTTGAGTCAGGTGAGATGTCAAAGTGTTATTCTTCATTTCTAATGCCTCAAACCTTTTACAAAGGTTTGTCAATTGAGCACTATCATTCACCTTATCACCCTGCATCTTTTGGAGAATCGAAGCAATAGAGGAGAATTGGCTATCATTAGGGCCTTATCTTCCCTTAATCGGTTATCCATATTATTAAGCTGAGCAGACATACTCTTCAGAAGTTGGCTGGTCTCATCACTCTTTGGTTGAGAGAGTGAATTATCCTGGAGTGGAATAACCATTCTTGAGGTGTCTTGAAACTGGTTAGAAGGAATACCATTGCCTTGTGAAAAATGATTCTGTCCTCTAGCCTCATTATTCCTCCAACTAAATCTAGGGTTGTCTCTCCACCCCTCATTGTATGTGTTGGAATATGGGTCCCATTTCTGATTGTTAGTGCGACCTTGATACATTGCAGAAACTTCCTCAATTCTGGATGGGCAAACACTGCTAAGATGCATAGGGGAAGCACAGAATTCACAACTTGGGGCTACCAGGGCTTGAGAAGTACCCATGGCATTACATTGTTTTGGGCCCCTGTCATTTTCTAGCCTCTCCAGTCTTCTATCAATTTTTTCCATAAATAATTTCAATTCATCAGTAGAAGAAGAAGAAGCTACCTCCCTCACAAACTGCTTGTCTCTAGTGCCATACTGTTGATCATTTGTAGCAGTTTTCTCAAATAAGTCCCAGGCACCTTGTGGAGT